ACGCAGGAGTCGGTGTCGTCGAGTCATTTTGTCATAAAACTTTGGTAATGTAAACCTACGTGACGCTCGCAACTCGACAAAAAACTACATATATGTGAATGTGCCTGTCACAGATTATAGCTAGGGCTGAAACGATTCCTCGAGAAACTCAAAAAATTCAATTACATAAAAGCCTAGAGGCAAATTATTTGTTTCGAGGCTTTGTTAAATCCAGTACAACTATACAGCGCACTGCTTTTCACATGGATGCTTGTTTCTGTTGCACAAGCGCTTATGTTACTTTTGCTGTTGATAGCCTACACAGACATAACATGGATGTAGCGCTGTTTGCAAAACGATGGAGGAAGCACGACGACAAGAGTGAGAGACAAAAAGAGACAGGCCACAGAAAACAACAGAAAGTGTAGAGTGGGCGATCATTACAAGTTAAAACGAAAACAGCTCAGTGTGTGCTGCAGAGTTAGCATTCCACAATAGCATGTCCTCAATGCTACAACATCTACATCAACATCGAACCCGACACAACACGGTAGCGCCAACGTCACATTTAACTGCATTTAAGTTTAATCAGTGATTGCCAGCTGAGATTCATAATGCATGTAAAGAATGTATGTGTATTATGGCTTTATAATGGCTGATCAATAACAAATCAATGTGATGGCTAACGTTACCTGGCGATGTATCATAAGTATTAGCCAAGTTTTGCCATAGAAAACAGCAACACACGGAAAATAGAATGCTGTAGTCAACTTGTGTAAGCCTTGGCTTCATTCATGTTATTATGTGCCTATGTGCATCATTTTATCTGTCACTACTGTTGAAGCTCACACTGCAGACAAATGTTTTTGCAATTAGAGCAATAAAAATGTTGAACTTTCAAAAAAGGAAACACATTTGTTGCTCATTTCAGAGACTTATTATTTTCTCTCCAATATATTACTCTTGTCCTTAAATAACGCTAAAGTAATTTAATGAAAACATGCAGTATTTCCTATCCGATTACTCGATTGATCGCCAGAATATTCAATTACTAAAAGAAAAGATAGCTGCAGCCCTAGTTACAGCGTGATGATTAGAGAAGAAATGGAAAAACAACTCAGTCATTTAGGATTTTACTAAAAGAAGGAAGTCACCTGTTGATTTATATATATAGATCCCAGGGGACATTTTTTGTATTTGGGAGCTGTTTAAATGTGTAATTTGTGGTAGATTTTATTTAGTTGAACTATTAATATTCTAACAGAATCTGAATCTCACTCTGAGTTACTGTTGTTGTTCACAAACTTAAGTAATGTGAGATCATTTTAGTTTTTACTGAATATTTGAAGCAAACTGTAAAACTAGACCACGTATTTTGTTGCAATTCTGTGTTTTTAAATTAATACATGTTTCTTACTAATTTGTCATATGGTCAAGAATACTGTTATTTCAAAAACACCCTGAAATATTGTGATATTATTTTAGGTCCATATCACTCACCCCTTGTTAATACTAACATACACTCACTTAACACTGAACTGTAACGTTACTCTATTTAGCTGAGGTAACACTACACATTAATCAGTAACAGTGTTTTGTGGTGTAAATAACTGAGCTAAACAAGCTTAATTTCATCTGCTGGCTTTTGAAGTAACAGTACATCAAGACTCCTCGCATGTTAGCCACCGCATTATAGCAGTTATGCTAACCACACACACCAAACACTTGAACCTGAACTTACACGCGGTGATATAAGCTAATGCTACAGTAACGTCACAAGGTTAACATTACTCCTCTTATATGTAATTTTTGCCAAATGTGGACATGAATGCAATTAGCTAAAGTCAGCTAACTCTGTAATGTCCACAGTTTATCTTGAATTGTGGAAGCTAACTTTGTTAGCATTTAGCATGGCGAAGCTACGTCCATTATTTACCCACCGGCGCCCTCCGACACAAATAAACAATCATATCAGCGGCTATTTAGATATAATTCAACCTTATTTAATAAACTCACCTCTTACACGACTTTAAATCCACATAACTACTGTTGAGTTTGATACCGAAGTCCCATCACTTGGTTCACATTAAGGCCACTTCCGGCTGAAGTGCCACCGGCGCTTCCTGATTAATACACCTGATGATCCAGCTCTGAAGATCCGCTGCATTTCTTCATCTACGGCCGCCGCCGTGTTACACGAAGCCTCTCTGGATGGCTGACGACTTCCATCCAACATTTCTGACACTATTGTGACGACGACTGGAGAGTTTAAAGTGTTATTTAAGAGGCATACGGCTTCACTCTGTCGCTCCGGTCGCTCCCGGTCCGCCATCTTGTCAGATTCATCCGAGTAGGCGGGACATGTCGCGGAAATTCGCTTCGTCATCATAGATAGCCAACCAGGAACTGAGAAATTCGCTCGCATCAAAGATAGCCAATCAGGAGCTGAGAATTCAGTTTTATTTCCGTTTCAATCAAACTCATACAAATAACTATTGTCATTCACACATGAAGTCATTGTGTCATACATTCACTGTCTCTTTGTCCCTGCACATGATTATTTGTATTCACAGGAACTATTTATTCTTTGCTTAAAATCTAATAATATTGTCTCATACATACAGTATATTAGTCTGTTGTCTTACATACACTGTTTTCTTCATTTACATATACCACCATACTGACATACATACTATTATCCCTTGTTGTACAAGTATGTATGTAGATACCAGAGGGTTTGGTAGTGTTTGTGTGAAGGTATAGTGGTGTGTGTGTGAGATTATGATGTAACTTAAAACGTAAAACCAAGTATGATTTACATCTCAAAGGGCCTCTCATAGATTTTGAATCTTGTTGCATCACAGTTTGGTCTTTACATGTCCGTCACCTCACTGATGTGATGTTGCCTGGTGACTCTGGTCTGTGTTTCAAAGTCATGACCACACAGTTCTTAAGCCAGGCTTTAACTCTCACCATAGCTCTGAGATGGTTTAATGAAATGGTTTAATCCTGGTTCACTTTGTTGGACTCATTTAACGCCCTGCGTTTCACAGTCAGCTCTGCTCTACTGAGCCACCTTTGTAAAACACAAGTTAAGCTGAGAGTTGTCAGTCTCCTGGAATTCTCCTGGAATCTCCCTGGAAAACAAATTAAACTGGACCTTTCCGTTGTGTAGTATGCATCAGGTGTTAGGCTAGCTTTGACAGACCAAACAGGCACAAGACGATGGGATTTGTGTCTCTTGAGCTTTCAGTACAGTGTACTGACTGTACTGCATACTGCCTACTACATTAACGATTAACTGTGCCATTATCAATAAGCTTTTTACAATGAAGTCACATGACTGATGGCTGGTCTGACCTGGCCGGTGGATCATACATCTCTAAAAACGTCACATAAAATTTCCAAACAGGCGTTATTTGGATAAACTGACCATATATTGGGAATCTAAATACTTAATTTCTCGCCTGAACAAATATATAAGTACAATGTATTATCATATAACATAAATAAAGGGACCTATTAGAGTGAAGTATTATCCTGCCATGCCACTAGGTGGCTTATGTTACTGGCCGAGTCAGGCCATGGTATTTAAGTTCATGCCAGTAATCAAAAGTGTTGCTGGTAGTGGGAAGCAAACAGTTTTCGACTGTGCTCGGATTAAGATTTATACGGCCGCAATTATTGGAACTTTGTGTTGAAACTTATTGGAAGTTAGACAGACATTACGGACACTGGTGAGAAAATAAACATATGATGATATACAGAATTGGAAAAGATTAGGAGTAATTTTCCAAGTACACGTCCAAACAATTCAGATAATTAGCAACCAGTAGCAGCTGAAGTTTAGGGTTGGTCACTACATAAATGATTGAACATTGCGCAGTCTAAAGAGACACAATGTATTGTGGGGCGATTGAATATGTCCAGTAAGTTCAACTCAAACTCAAGTTGGTTCCCCTCCTCAGTGCGGTTCATTTGTGCAGGTGTGAACACAGCAGTCACACTCAGGTGTGCACCAAAACAACCGGACTGAGACCTTCTTGAAGAGGTGGTCTCAGTCTGGTTTCAAATGAACTCTGGTGCAGTTGGTTTGTGGTGAGAAGGTGTTCGGACCTGGATCTGAAGCAGCTGCAGTCACATGACACATTGTTTGGGTTAAACATGAGCATGTTACAGTCCTGGAGGATTATTAATGTGCACCTCCTCCTGTACTGCCTTAATATGCACATTCAGCACATCCAATGCATCAAAACATTGTTTTCTAGTTGGAGCCGCGCCTCGTTTTCAAACTGTATGGTTTGACTAAAATGAACAATGACAGCAATATAGTCCACGATGAGCAGCGCTAAAATCAACCTGCGTAGTTGTCCCTCCATTGTGACATTAGAAAGTGTCACATTTATCTTGCAAGTTTACTCTTCTTCAACGTTTGCTTTACTTCCTGGATTTTTGACCAATCAAGAGCAGCTTTCTCACACAAGGCATTTGATCTGGTCCTCTTGTAAATGCTGCTGTGAGAACACGAACCAACTCTAGGCAATTATACAACTTTGGAACAACACGAGTCCCTGATTCAGACCAAAGGAGACGACTCTAGGTCTGAGAGCAGCATGAGTCTTGATGAAAGATGGGTTCCTGTTTTTGGGGGTCTGGTTCTTTAATTTTATTTAGGTGACATTTAAAGAGAAAAAGGGACACTCACTATGAGGCAGCTGCTGTGGGACACACTATGCCATAGCTGTGTTTTAATGCAATTCATTTAAAAGCACATAAGCTGACTAAAATAGAGTGCACTCTAAACCAAAAAACAGATATGAGCTCAAATTTTCAATACACCAAAATTGCAGTCTGAAACTGATCCCTGCAGCAGCAAAGAGGAACCTTCAGGGAGGAACTGTTTCAGCTTGGCAGATTGTAACTGGTTTAACTGGTAATCTCATTTTATGAAACACCCGTCTGGTTTGCACAGCTTGTCGATGTCGTATGTAAATGTGTTTGATTCCTGCTGGGTTTTGCAGGTTTTACACAAACGCGAGGCAGAGTGGGAGAGGTGGACATCGACCATCCAACGCTGGGAGGCCAAGAGAGAGCTGGCTCACATCGCTGGAAGATCCGCGCCTGTGAGGACACAGCTGACAAAACAATCACACTGATGATAACGGACGTATCTCACACAAACACACACACCTGAGCACAGGGGGAAGCAACATGACACAGTGATCCTTTGTATTTATTCAAACATTAAATGATGACCAACAGAGAGGAAGAGATAGCAGCCATGTGTGAAATAGCAGCTATAGAGTCAGATATGTGTGTGTGTGTGTGATGTCCTCCAGCTATATCGATCCGAATTTAATGATGGTCAGGAGGGAAACATGCACTCTCATCAAAACAAACTGTACAGCCATAACATCTGATATACTTCACTGTACAAAGATTCAGATTTTTTTGTACCAACAGTTTATAGAAAAGTAATTTTTTTTTAAATAACACTGCGTACAAATGTATGATTCTCCATCTACCATAGTTGCTCTTTCTTATGTACAGAGTGTTGGCTTGTTATTTGGCGAGTTAACTGTTAATATACTGTATAACGTGACTTCTCGTCTCCCTCTCACTTGAATCCTGGGTTGTATGAGATCATTGGGAGTTCATCAGGGAGACAGAGACGTGAATAATCCAACAGCAGAGGAGATTCTGTTTCCAGGAGAAAATGTTCTCAGCTCTGGGGTCAAGCTGCTGCCCGTGCTGTGAATCCCAGCGAGGAAAAACATCTCCTTGTTCATCCAATGTTTGATAAGTACACCAGCTCCTCTGCGATCTTACTGTGGGCTGAAGAGTTGAATGTAGACAGAGACACAAAGATCCTCCATTTGGCGCTGCACTATGCTACAAATCCTGAGAAAAACACCCACCATGAGTCCACCTTCTGTGTTTTTTTTTTTTTTCTTAAAAAAAGTTGACAAATCTTAGAAACCGTACAAACACTCACAGTTAACAAGAGACCAATGCAGGCAAACAATACGACGGTCGTGACACTGGAACAGTGACCATTGCTCTCTGCGGCCACAAGAGCGCAGCAGTGCGAGACAAATCAGACTCCAACACCAAACTGAAAGAACACCAACAGCATTTTGGCAGGCACAAGGATGCTACTGAGCTCAGTTCATTTTTAATTGGTCCTTGTCCAGTGTACATCAGGGACACAAATCACTGCTGGCTGCCAACCTTTAATCTTCTGATATGCTGAAGTTTTTCTAGCTGATGCTACAGAGAGGAGAAACGATTGGGGAACAGGTTGCTTAATTAAAAAACAAATAGCTCATGATGTTCATGGTGTATCTGCTAAAATAGAAAAATAGATGATTTGAAATTAAATTTAAACATAGAAAAATATACATAATCAAATGATATATATGTACATGAGCGATGGTCGTGTGACTCATGCTTTAGCTCGGTTAGTACAGACAAACGACAGCTGTGTGAAAACTGAAAACATGTGCACTGATGACGTTAAAAAAAGAGATGCATTTCTTCCCTGTGTCCTTCAAAGGCAAGAATACTGTCGGCTTTATGCACGCTGTATCATCCTGTGGGCTCTGATGAATGTGTGATGTAGGACAGGTTGTGTGTTTGGGGCTGTGAAGAAGTTCATCCCAGGGTCAACAGGCGGGCGGCGAGGTGAGGTCACCACACGGAGCATTTCTCCAAGGGGTTCATCGGGGAACTCTTGGGACAGTGGAACACACGGGCAAACTCATCAAACTGGGAAACACTGCCGATCACTCTGCGAGGGGGGAAACACAGGAATGTCTTATAGTGATGTGGAGATCATTAAATATCTGTGCCTGCAGTGTTCAGGAATTTCTTTCACAGGAAGTAGGCGCATTCCAGCCATGACCTGTGTTTCCTTAATGTAGATATGTGTATAAGGTCTTTCAGAGGTTTATTCCACAGTTGAAATGGTAAAAACACACTGATGACTCTCTGGATGTGTGTGTGTGTGTGTGTGTGTGTGTGTGTGTGTGTGTGTGTGTGTTGGTGTGTGTGTGTGTGTGTGTGTGTACTGCACCTGTAGTGCTCTGGTGCATGTTTGTCAGTCAGCAGCTGCAAGTAGATGGACTGAGATCTTCTCTTCATGCACCAGTTCTGAAAAGACAAAGTTAACACAACAGTGACACCACATGGATACATGTTACAGGGTTCACACGGTCATGGGAGACCTGGGAAAGTCACGGAATTTCACAATCTCATTTTCCAGGCGTGGCAAAGTCATGGAATTAGTAAAAATCACTGAAAGTTTTGGAAAATTTACAGTAATCTTACGGGGATAATCTTCCAGGTAATGTAACATAACAGCAAATTTATTTTCTGTAAGTTAGCCGTTGACATAACGTAGCTCTGATATGTGTCAGCTTAGGGCTGCACGATGTATCATTTCAGCATTGATGTGCAATGGTCGTATCGAAGGACGTGCAATGTCAAGTAAGGCAAATTAACTCAAACAACTTATCTGATGCTTGATACAAATGTAAAACTTGCACAGTTCTCATTTTCCATGACTTATAGCGGCCAAGCCTTCTGCTTTTAGACGTTACGTGTATATGTGACGTAGAGCCCTTCCCAAACCACCCCTGAAACTCTCCCTACCCACGTTTCTGCGTTCACACGGAGGGTCTGCAACAATAGCTGCGTTTCCATTATAGTTTTGCGCAAAATAAATGCAATATTTCGACAAAGTACAATTGCGACTTGCAGGTGTTTCCATTAAAAGGTGTTTTGCATATGAGCCGTAATTCTCGTAAAATCTCGTCCAGCGAGACTCCACTTTGTTTGCGGAAGTAAGATGGACATTCCAAATCTCTTGCGAGCTGGAAGTATCATCTCGGTTGCCACTGCTGCTGTTGCAGTAGTCTACAACCGATGACGAAGAGAGCGAGTGGTATTCGTGAACGAAGAACGTGAATGAGGAATTCACAGAGGACTTGAATGTCCAGTGACGTATATTTGCGGAAAAAGTGTTTCCATTACACTTTTGCGATATACTTCTATATCGACACGTCTGAAAAACCACCTCATGAGAGCGTAAAAACTTTTCTGTAGGTGTTTCCATTAGCAGTTTTTTATTGTGATATTTAGGTTTTGCGCATTTCTAGGGTTAATGGAAACACACTTAATGAGTCACGTCCAAACCAGCTGAGTAATGAAAGTTTCTTATGAACCCCTCCAACAGCGAGCCTGCACTAATGCCAAATTACTGACTATGTGCAACACTGTATTCATCATGAAGACGCCCAGTACAAATAAAGTTCCATGTGACTATCTTTACAAACGTGAACTGCTCAAACAAACTACGACATTTAAAATTGTCATACAGACATTAATGTTGTAAAGTTTACTTTGTATTTAGAACAAAATATACCTTTCTCTAGTTTCTAGAAAGCAGTCACATTCATTTTATTATCAATTTATTGAGTTATTTGTTTCTTTTAATGACAAAAGGAAATACATAAACATCCAGGTAAACAACAGCAGCTCATACATCAAATATAAGTGCTAAAAATACGTGTAAAGAACATAAGTGGGATTAAGCTTTATTTTTCTCAATGGTTATAAAAAGTTATGACAGGTCCTTTCTCCACCGCAGAGATGGAAGTTTGTCCAAAAGCTTGCTGTTGCATTTATCCCCTACACCTTAATGAAGGGAGCTTCAATCAGCTGTGAAGGTGACTTCAAACAGAGATACACTCTGTGAGGGAGTGGGTACGGTCTGATTTGGGAAAGGCCTGTAGTGTGGTGGCGTTTGTTACGGGAAGTGAAACTCTTCTGCATGTGTGTGTGGAGAAAGGTATAGTGAAGTGCATGCTTTTCCAAAATGAAAATTTTATTATTATTTTTTTTAAATTTTGTCCATGAAAATTTGTGGGAACTCTGACTTTAGCTAAAGCAGTCTTGCTTCCAGCTGTGGCAAGTTACAAAGTACTGTACTCAGGCACAATTTTGAGGTACTTGTAGTACTTGAGTATTTTAAATTGTTGGTACATAACACTTAAACCTTACTACATTTCAGATTGTACTGTGCTGTACTTTTGTTTTAAGAGCTATAGGTACTAGATACTTTTCCAATCAGATCATGAGCTGAGAAAATGCATCGTTTCGAGATCAAGATGAAAATAAAATCACAGGCAACAGGTTTCAGTTTAAAAAATACCAACGTTTCCCTTTAGCAACATTAAATTCACATCTGAAAATGATGCTTTTACTCACTCTGGACACACATCAGACATCTCAAATGATCGTACGCACATATACATGATTTTTTCCTCTCTCTTCCCTGTGGGGAGAGTTTTACAGCTGAAAGCTAAAACACCACAAATTGCATCAAAAAGTGTGTCTGGATTTTGCCCCGTTACATTAAGCCATGAATTTGAATGAAAGCAGCATTTCAATGATCGTCCTAATAGTTAGAAGGAGCAGGGGTGGTCTGGTGCTTAGAGCCACTGTACTGTCATCAGTGCTGCGGGTCTGATCCTTCCGATGGTTAATGCATCCATCAGCTAATGTTGGCGTAACTCACAACTCCTACCTGCTCTCTGTGATCAGGCGCTCCAGCTGAGAGTGGCAGCTAAAGTGATTTAACATGGAAATGTAATGAAACACAGTAGTGTGAGGCTATTGGAGGCTTGTGTACCTGTGCAAAGGCAATGAAGACCAGCTGTTCGTGTGTGTATTTGAGCCCAGGCAGCGGCCTCTCCGGTCCGTGCTCCCTCACCCACTTCTGATACGCCTGGGTGGACAGACAGAGGTGTGTGGAGCAAGTGAATAATGAAAGACAGCAGATACAAATGAAATTAGGATCCCTCGTCTCGTGTCCACAGCAGGATGTTCTCTGCAAGTTAAACTGAGATCTGAAACCAAACGGGACATTTCTGATTTGTAGAAACTACTGAAATAACACGGGAACACCCTTTTTTCTCTGCAGCCAATCTAACTGATTGACACGACGAACAGACGCGACGACTCTATCGCTGCATTTTGATGTTATGGTTTATTTAAAAGCATTCACTCATTCCCTTTGTACTTTGTTTCTGCATGCACAAAACACTCCCTGCTTCAATATAGACCACTGACACGCTCAATATGGAATTGAATTATGCAGCATCAGATACTCTGCTGTCCAGTCAAACACACACACACACACACACGGACAGACGGCGATACAAGCAGAGAGAGGGAAATCACGTTTATCTTTTATCTTGATTCTTGGGAGACTTCTGCTCTTTACTTTCATACAAATAAAGCAGACTGCTCTGTGAAGAATAAAGAGACAGACGGAGACAGAAAATGGACAGAGGCGGTATAGACTGATGGAGCAAACTCTAATACTTAAGAGTATGTGAAGCCACATAAATGGTATTGAATGTCACTTACATAGTAGGACAGCTTGAGCCCTCCCATGTCTGCGATGTTCTCCCCCAGCGTCAGACGGCCGTTCACCTACACACACGCACACACACACACACACACACACACACACACACACACAGAGGAAGCTTACTTAATGGTGACAGGTCTGAACATCTCCGCCCTGCACTTTGTGCTATTATGTACTTCAAGGGTGTCCTTTAATCTAGGACCTGGCTTGTGATTAAAGACCGATATCTGTATTTTGTCAGTGAGGTTGCTCCCTGCTGATCTTGTCTTCAATAGCCTTAAAAGAAAAGTTTTTTGGGAAATGTGCTTATTTGCTTTCTTGCCAACAGTTGAAGAGTAAGATCAATACGGCTCTCAGATATGAGAGGAACATCAATCTTCTGAGTTTAAGTCTGGAAAAGAAAGTGAACAAGCAGATTTCCCAACATGTCAAGCTATCACGTTATATCACCTTTGACCCTTCAAAAACATGAAAATACAAATATTCACGGCAGCATATAGCACCATGAATTGTGCACATAAGGACAATGTTGTGCATAAAAGACGAAGTGAACTTTGAGTTGGTTTGGAATATGTAATATGTTTTTGACTGTGTTATACAGTGCTGAAGTGTAGTAACAGGAATACGATGAGAATACATAGAAACAGTCGGTAACATCGAGTCGGTAGAGGACCGTACAAGTTTTTTGTATTCTCAGCAAACCTTGTTAAACCTCTTCCCTGCCTCATGTGACTGTGGAACTCCAGAGAAGGAAATGGAAACACAAGTCAAAACTGAGACAGCTCGCAAACTAAGTGGCCGAGGAACTGTGGTATGTTGAAACGGCCACTACAGTCTGATTCACAAAAGATGTTGTGCTAAAAATACTTTGGACACAAACACGCTCGCACATCTTACAGCTGAGTGCAGTTTGCCCTTTTTTTTGCCTGACGACATTATAAATGTTGCACAGTATGTACATGTCACCTTTGGGCCAAGAACACAGCAGCAGAGCGACGGCAGAGAGAAAACGAAAACTTTTATCAGAATTTCCAGATGGGAGCTACAGGTCCTGACTGACGAGGTGCAGACGTATTTCCGTCTCAGTTGAAATATCCACTTATGATAATGCCTGGCATAACGATGCCCTCACCTGGTCACCGCCCATGCTGCTCACCAGAAAAATGAAAGCCAACAGAATGTGCCAAAACTGCAGTTCCTCTAATGGCCACTTGAGGCTGAAGAAGCCAGTCATCCTCCACTGACCCCATTGTTAGCCTCCACAAACCAGTAGGTGACATCACAGCAGCTATGTCCATTATGTTTACAGTCTATGGGCGTGATACGCCTCAAAGATTTCAGTTACCACCGACTCTGAAGACACTACTTATTCCTGTGGCTTTGTGAATTGGACTATTTTTGCTGTAAGGCTCATTTGCATATAAACGGGCTGATTTGCGCCAAATAAATACATATAACATAATTTACATATGTGCAAATAGCACAGGAGCACAGAGACACTATTTCCCTGGCAGCACAGTTAGGGTTGCATTTTATCATTTGCAAGTGCTTTGAGAATTATACGGTTTCCTTTAATGCCAAGCAAAAGCTAAGCAATTCTTTCTCGTCCATGAGTGTTTTTGTGGCTGGTAAAGGTGCCAAAATCCCACCACACCACAAAAGTCTCAGATTAATCTATTAAAATTGTACTCCAGCAATTTGGTATCGAACTTTTGTTAAAACCTTCCTGCCGGGTTTAATGTTCCTATTTTTCATACTTCACATTTGTAATGCAGGCTCTGTGTTATCTGTCTGCAGGTATCCAGATATTTTTGAAAACTGATGTTTTCCCTCTGTTTTAGAATAAAAATTCTGTCCACTTGACCTTCATTTTACAAAATATCCCTGTCCACACCAGACGCTTGCAGGCATGAGCTCTTCCACAGTTTTCACTGGTTGAAAAGGTAGTAAAGTGCATAAGGTCCCTTTTTGCAAAACCATAACTGGAGATCTGTTTCCTGTTGATTCCTTTTTGATATACTGGTGGAGAAGCTCAGAAGATATGAGTGATGCTGCAGAAATGCAGAAGTTTTCCTTCCTCTCCTCATCAACAACCACCGTAACTGGCAGACTTTAAAACGCAGATGCTGAGATGGACCAGATCACGCTAGGTGCAGCAATACTAAGTTTAAGAGTAAAGTAATCATTAGACCAAGAGGTGCTAACAAAACGTAAACAGACCAGTAGCCCGCCATTTTTGTCATTGTTTCTGAAACATGCCTATTACACAAAATAGATGAGATGATGTCATCGCTTCCCAAACACTCCACTTAACACGTCCACACAGATACGCAGGAACCAGAGTTTTGAAAAATCTGCACCCTAAGTGTTTTAAAAGTGTTTTTATTGATCTAAAACTGTGTGTGTGTGGACAAGAGTCCAAAATATAAAGGAAAATATCCATTTTCAAAAATGTATACATGCACAAAGATGATGAGATAATCCTGATGACATCACTACAACATCATCAAGGTTATTTTCTCAGACCTGACAAAGCTGCTCCAGGGCCTCTGAAGACTTTATACAACTGCTCTTACAGGCTGAACGGTGCTCCTAAGTAAACTTAAAATTATATGTTAAATTGGCAGAGTTCTCCTTTAAGGGAGCACACATGTAATTATGTTTGTCTATCTGTAACCAGAACAAAATGCTGCAAAAGTCTTCCACAGATACCCAGAGCAGTGATGTGAGCAGAAATAATAATAAATCAAGCTGCACCATGTTAACGGACACTGACTTGATGACATATGGTTTTCTATATAAAGATAATATCAGTCCAGAATATCAGCTGACATATATATCTATGTACTGCTATAATAAAAATGGCCATATAAGACAAGATGAGCCTTTATTGATCCCCAGCAGGGATATTCAGTCATTGCAAGGACAGAAACTGATGAGTATAGAAAGTAACAAAATAAATAAAATAAAATAAAATACAATAAAATAAAATAAAATAAAATTAGATAAAATAAAATAAAATTAAATAAGATAAAATAAAATTAGATAAAATAAAATACAATAAAATAAAATTAAATTAAATAAGATAAAATAAAATAAAATTAGATAAAATAAAATAAAATAAAATAAAATTAGATAAAATACAATAAAATAAAATAAAATTAAATAAGATAAAATAAAATAAAACAAGATAAAATAAAATAAATAAGGAGTGGATGGACAAAAATAAAAATTGAATTAAAAATCAAAACTATATGAGAGCATTTGAAGACAAAATGTCCTGGTAAAGTGATTAATGTGATCAACAGCAACAGAGTCAACATCATAAAAGCTGTATGTGTATGTGCGGTATGTGTGTGTGTGTGTGTGTGTGTGTGCGTGCAGACCCACCCTCTGGTTATAAACAGTGAAGTTATCGTAGAGCTTGACGATACATTCGGCTTTCTTCTGGAATTTCCTGTAGGACTCCTCCGTCCACCACTGTTTGAGGTTGCCGTGGCGGTCGTACTGGCCCCCTAGGGACATGAACCATTGCATCACTAAGATGAAGGGCAAAAGGGCAGGGGGGGCGCAGTGTTAGCATGGAGACGACACAACCTGCAACTTTCCTTCACAGTCCAAAAAGCGGCCCAGCACGTCATCTTTGTAGCTTTTTTTTATTGCTGCGGGAGTCAAAACATCAGGAGGCAAAGGGTTGTTGAGTTGACCTTGGCTGATGTCTCCAGTTCAAGAGCCAACTGAATTGCTTTTGCAGCCAAATACATTTGTAGAATGACTGTCTGCCAAAGAGGCTGGTGGAGCACAAACCAACAAAGGCAGTCACAAACAAAGTTATTCCAGTATTTGGCAGGTGGCTGGCAGAAATTTCGCAGCCTTATTATGGTCGTCTGATGCATCTTAAAGGGCAGCACTTTGACTGGAAATGAAAGTTAGAGATTGTGGTTCAAAACAGTCTTTCCTGTACAGCTGTGGGCATCTGACAAATGTCATACAATTACACAAATCATCAGGGACTCTCGCTTTTTCTGTGAAATTGAATGCAACAATGGGAGTGCCACTCAAAATAGTGAGACTGTGGGTGTATGAGCATTGCTGTAATGGAATATAGGTGAAGAGATTGTAATTCTTACCCCAGTCATCATATCCATGTGTTAGCTCGTGGCCGATGATTGCTCCTATGCCCCCATAGTTCAGAGACCTGGCAGCAGGAAGGAGAAATATGGAGCATTACACAAAACTTCCCTGGTCTCCGCAGGTGCTTAAAAGTCTTGAATTGCCTCCACTTATATCAAGGCTTGACCTTTGGAAAGGAACATTGAATTCATAAGTAAAGGGAAATGGACTCGCAATTGTATAGTACAGAGTCTTCCGACCACTCAAAGTGCTTTTACTCAACATGCTACATTCACCCATTCACACACACATTCACACACTGGAGGCTGAGGCTGTTATAAAAGGTGCCACCTGCTACTCTGTCAAACATTCACATGCACTCACACACCAGCAGCCTGGGGTTCAGTATCTTGCCCGAGGATACTTCAACATGTGGACCGGAGGAGCCGGGGACTGGTCGTCTGATTAGTGGTCGACCTGCGCTACCTCGTCCACAGCCACAGCAATAAAACACACCTTTGATCAATTAAATTCACTGTGGAATTGTGCCAACACATTCTCACTCCTACCTCGTCACATATCGACATCTCGTCATGGACTTTCCACGTCCACATATGTCGTCCAAGGTACCCTGGGTGTGTAATTGTCTGTTTATACACTTCTGTTTTCACAGGAAATGTACAGTTTGCATACAGGCTCTTTCAAAATAAAAGCACTACATCGGTACAACACCACAAAATGACGTTGTTTTCCTTCAACAACACATGCACACAGTTGGGTTTAGGAAAAAAGAACAGGGTTTGGCTTCAGAGTCTTACAGGAAGTAAACACCAGTCGGTGGTTGTTGGACCCATCCACCACCACTCCTGCCCGCCCCTACTCAGACTTCTGCCTCCCTAACTTTTGTTGTTGTCCCGCGATGTTTCCCCCTCATGCCACAGGCATTATTCATTATTTCTTTTAATGTAAAAACTGTTTTTTTTTTTTTTTTAATCAGGTTGGGTTTGGACAGAAACTGTTAATGTTCATGTAGGGTCGGCCTGATCAGAGCTCGAAAGAGAAGTTTGAATTCGGGGAAAGTGTTTTACTTTATTTATACTTGTGCAGTGGTGTGTCTGTGTCACTCTGCAGTTACACCTCCAAAACACTAGTCGGTGGTTCCTGTGAAGTGCTGTAAAGTTGACTTGATTCAAAACACACATTAAACACACATTAAACATGGCTTAATAGAGACAATTTCAAACACAAGTGCACAAATCAGCTTCACTATAACTCGCAGCATTCACAGACAAACACTTGTCTTTATCTGGACACATTTTCCCCACAAATACAACATGCTAACGTTATTAGCACAAGCCTATGGCATTTTACATTGTATAAATTAGCCTAGTTTCTAGCTTATTTTTCCTCTTCTCATATGAAGCCAGGGACAACAGCAACATTTAACAAAGATAACGGCACATAATTTGGCTCCATTACAACTCACAAGGTTCACTGACAAAACAACTGTCTTATACTAAACATGTTTTCCAAACAAATACAACATGCTAACGTTATTAGCACAAGCCTATGGCATTTTACATTGTATAAATTAGCCTAGCGACGAGCAGAGATTTCCTCTGCTCATATGAAGCCAGGATAAATCACACACAAGACTTAAAATGTTATTTATGTGGAGGCTTTATTGTCTTCACAATTTATTGTTTCTTATCTGTGAAATTAAAGTAAATCAAAGTTTTGTTTCCACTGAGGGAAATGGTTTCAGCTTACAGAGACAGACAGGAGGTCTGCGTCACTGCGACGCAAATGTATAAATCCTACTTTAGTGCAAACAGGCTAAATAAAATGTGGATTCTGATTATCCTAAATTAATTGCAGCATTACATTAGACCTCCTGGCAGAGTGCCACAGACTCCTGAGGGTCCCGAACCCCATTTTGAAAATCACTTTTTCAGAACGTATGCCTTTTGACTGATATTATGAGTCTCACTACAGACAGCTTTCTCTCTCTTGTTTTTCATCTCTTTGTCCTCATCGATAATTCTGCTCAGCCAAACCAGATAAAATGCAAATTGCACTTGGGATCTAATTTTGGATCCATGTGTCTCAGTACTGAGTGGAAAGAAGCTCAATGCCACATTTTTCTGTTCACACTGATTAGAAAACATCAGATATCTGTTCTACATGTGTGGGGACCTTTCAGCTGCAGTGTGAACATAACTCTTAACTTCTCAAGGTGTGGACACAGAAACACAGCCCTCCTGTAACTTGTGTGAGCACCCACTGGCTCACACCCTGCACGTGCCCCCTGCTTCCAGAAAGCAGCGGGTGGCTCCACCTCCCCCTGACCCTGGGCCGGGCTTGAGAGCTGTCTTTGTGCCACATGCAGATATAGAGAGCGATGAGAGGGCAGACTCGGGGCTATTCACATGGCTACGTCTGAAAATGACTTTCTGACAGCTAGTCGATACGCTGCCTCACACCGGGCCCGACTCCCCCGCTAAACTAACTGGCTGATTGAAGCTTCATTATACTCGACGTGGTGGTGGAGAGCCGTGTGTGTGTGTGTGGGAGTGTGAGAACGAGAGTTTATGGGAGGTTAGGGCTACTGCAGTAATAATTTCAAGGGGACAGGCAGGCGCGCACACACACACACACACACAGACTTTACTACATCATTAATTAATATTGATTAGCATGCATGGCAGCAGGTAGAGGAAGTAGTGGTGATCACCTCTAATGAAGACATAGAAGTGTTAGCTAATGTTGGGTACACAAACTGCTAATTGAGGGGGGTGTGTGTGTGTGTGTGTGTGTGTGTGTGTGTGGTGAGTCAGGGGAGCTGATATGAATGCAGGAGGTGCAGCTATTTGGACTGTATTGTATGTACTGGCTTAGAATAATGCTGAATACTGGCAGCAGCAGGTTTTCTCCTTGGTGAATAGCTTTGGTTAACAAAGGGTTTGTTAAGAGGGAAAATAGATGTTTACCTGCACATTCCTCAGAGCTGCACTGCACTGGTTTCTCACTGACCATTTCCCAAATTGGTGTGGGTGATTTCCCAGCATCCAGGCAGCCACTGGGTTTAATTCATGCCAGTATTGTATGTTAATCAACTCACAATCAGCTGAAACCTACTTAGGACAGGTAATACATCACTTTATTTTTATGATAACTGTTAGATAAGAACCTATCTGATAACAATATATGATAGGAACCTATTTAAAAACTGTATTGTTGGTGTGTTCATGGACACTCCTACACCTGAGTTAGCTGCCATAGTGTTCAATGTCCATGACTGCACATTGTCTGCTTAATTTATTTATTTTTTCCACGGCATATCTGTGGAAACACTTTTAAAACCATTGCATCACCTCATGTTAATAACATAATGTACCCAAATGTCAATGCATTTTTGTGCTGCACTGAATGAATGAATGAATGAATGAATGAATGAATGAATGCATTACATTACATTCTAATGACTAAAAAGGGATGTTAAAATCATGTGTTCAAAAATGTCTTTTAATCTGTACGCCCTGTTTTCTTTTCCTTGTATCTTTTTTTTTGTTTGTTTTGTTTTTTTGTTTGTTTTTTGTGCTTTGTTGTATCATAGGTAGGTTTGGTGGATTGGTCCAACACACACAGAACTTTCACCCAGGAGCCCGGTGTCTGCTTCCCACATGAACGTAGAACCAAATCACGTGCTTTTGTTGCACAAGGACTTAAAGATAAATTTGAGGTGTTTAACCAACGTTGTGAGTTTGTTTTGAAAAAGACTGGATGCATCTAACGAGCAGAAACTGTACAACGGAAGTGTAATTTGAAAAGACACAATACATATAACAGGCATAAACTGGCATGCTGTCCCAGAACATTGACAACAAACGCAGAAGGATACCCAGTGTGTCATATATAGACGTGAAATTTCACTGAACGAGCAGCAACATGGGCCGAGATGGGAGGTGGGATTGAGAATGTCAAGTGCTACGAGCTGGCACTGAATATCTGGTCAGATTTTAAATCTTCAAGCCCACATTTAATACAAAGTTTGCCATTTTTGTTAAATTAGTTATTTATCTATTATAGTGTGAAAATGTGTGTTAATATTCCCAAAATTAAGGTATGGAAGCAAATAATTCCCACAATGATTCAGATCTTAGTGGCAAACTTATTTTGCAATTTTATCACTACTGAGTACCTGATGTAATTCAAAGGTCACCAAATTTAAAGCATTGAAACATTTTACTTTGTGTTGCTGTGCAGTTTAGTAGTAGTAGTATTCTTTTAGGTACACATATTATTTATTGTTCAAAAAATTTAGAAAATTCAAGTACCCATATATTCAGAACCTACGTTGAAATTACTTTAAAGGTGAAGTGTGTAAGATTTAGGGGGATTTGGTGGCATCTAGTGGCGAATTGCAGATTGCAACCAGCTAAAACTTCCCCTGGTTAGAATTCCTTCAGCAACACATGCTAATGTGTGGTCACCTTTTTTCTCTGATAACTTAAGATCCAGGGGCTGGGTGCACAACACAGCTTAGGTTAAGATTTTCCTTACAGCCCGACTTAAGGATTCCTCAAATTAAATTCGGTTGCACAAAACACCCTTTAGTCGTCCCCTTAAAGTTTCCTTAAAATGTTCACTTAAGTATATATGGTTTTCTCCTTCTCATGGTCTTATACTTAAGGAATCCCTCAACTGTTGCAGGGAAGACCTTAGCAACCAAAGCAAGGTAAAAAACAAAAAAACAAATTAAGGTACCTCTGACTCTATCTTAACTGCAACATGACCGAGTTAATGGTGATAAATAAAAAACACTAACACACCCTGAGAAGAGTGTTCTGCGACCAGGAGAGCCCAACATATACACTTTTGATTTTACACCATAGATTTGACTGAATTCTTTTTTGTTGCTTCTTCCTACAATAGTTTTCTGTTTTCTGGTATTTGGGGAATAAATTAACTTTGAAGTGTGACTGTATTCCTCCAGAAGTAAAATCTTTTCCTCCTCTGACCGATATGGTTTTCTTGTCTGCTTTTCGTCTGCCATTTTTTCACAATCTAAATATGAGACAACTCTGTGAGACGATAACAGGCATCACAAGTGTGAGTCCAAGCAAACAAACAATCTCAGTGGAAACTTTTATCGCTGTAAAATCTCTGTGAAGGCAATAAGTGAGTTAAAGTTTTTCCTAAACTAAGGAAACCTTTTAAGAGATTCTGTGCAACTGTGTAAATCCCTCCGCTAAGGAGAAATTAAGCCTTAAAGGGAAATTTCGGTTTATTTCAACCTGTCTCCTATCGTCCTAAATTTGTTTCAAGTGACTAGTGACATAAAAATAATAGTTAGCATGTTAGCCGTTAGCCTAGATACAGCCGGGGCGCATAGTAGCGTCAGACCTGTTAAAACGTAAGTGAACGGGCAACCTTCAAGTGCAAAGTTAGTCCACTAAACAAGGTTTTTTTCCACAAAGACCGCCTCATATCGTTAGGATAAATGTCAGAGAACATATAGAAAACGACATGTAAATGTGTTGTCTGACCTTACCGGTGTGCTGCCATGTTTGTTTACCATCTAGCTCTGCTTTCCAAAGCGTGGCCGAAATATATCTCGCGAGAACAAGCAGCGATCTCATACCGTGCCTGAAATCTCACGAGAACAAGCAGCGATCTCATACTGTGCCTGAACAAGCAGCAACAGCTGGAAGGCAGAACCTGACAGTAGCCTGAAAAGTTCATTCATTTATTTTATGAAAGATTTATAGAATAATGGCTGACTTTTTGCCAGACTTTGACTTTGTGGAGGAGGAATTTGATTTTGCAGAGTGTGATGGCCGCCCTTATTTATTTGAGCCAGAACACACTGACGAAGAGCTTCGTGAAATTGAAGAATGGAGGAGGAGAGAGAGAGAGAGGTGCAACAGGTAGAGGACGAGAGAGGAGGAATGGCTGCTGCAAGGCTGCGTAGCTCTGGAGATTGGTGGTGTACCTGTGAATGCTGTGCCCCAGTGCCCACAGAAGAGGAATGCCTCTGTTGCAAGGAATGGGACCAGTTGCAGCCTTATTTTCAAGTTCTGGATGTGACCGAGGACGAGACACCTCCACCTGGAGTAGTATCCAGCTGGGCTTTATCTAGAGCTCGCAAGATTTCAGGCACGGTATGAGATCGCTGCTTGTTCTCGTGATATTTCGGCCGTGCTTTGGAAAGCAGAGCTATATGGTAAACAAACATGGCAGCACACCGGTAAGGTAAGACAACACGTTTACATGTTGTTTTCTATATGTTCTCTGACATTTATCCTAACGATATGAGGCGGTCTTTGTGGAAAAAAAATCTTGTTTAGTGGACTAACTTTGCACTTGAAGGTTGCCCGTTCACTTATGTTTTAACAGGTCTGACGCTACTATGCGCCCCGGCTGTATCTAGGCTAACGGCTAACATGCTAACTATTATTTTTATGTCACTAGTCACTTGAAACAAATTTAGGACGATAGGAGACAGGTTGAAATAAACCGAAATTTCCCTTTAAATGTCATACTTCAGGAAAAAACTTAAGGTGTTTTTGTGCAACTGGTCCCAGATGTTCAGGAGGTTTTCACCAGAAGCTGAATTATCCACAGAGGTCTCTTCCTCCTCAAAACAAACAGACCAGGTGATTTAAACTGGTAAAAACACTGAATAATCAACACAAATCAGTGGAACTCAGGCGCTGCTTATTGCAGTTGGGCTTCTTCCTATGGTGGCCTATGCAAAAACACAAATGTCCCTGTGTTGAGCCAGTGTTTGGTTTGTCCATTCTGGGCTACTGTAGAAACATGGCAGTGCAACAAGGCAATCTCTGTAGAGGAGGACCTGCTCCCTATGTAAATATAAACAGCTCATACTAAGGTAACGAAAACACAATGATTCTTATTTTCAGGTGATTATACACTAAAGAAAACATACTTATTATATGATATTATATTTCTGCATATAGATCCCCCTAAATCCTGCACACTGGACATTTAAAGTTCAGTTCAGACACATCAGCGACACCAGGGATCAGCAGTCGAGCCTGGGTATCTGTGATATTTCACCGCAGCAAATTCAGTTGTATTTAAATTTCAAACTAAAGGATGCAGCAGTGATTACATCTCAAAATGAGACTGATAAGATTCAAATGATCATGGCGATTACTTGCTTCCACACTGGGTACTGTTCTGCTTTCACTGTAGACACTCAGTGCTCATATAAAAACATGTCATCCCAGAATTTTTCATAACTTTGGATTTCAGAGCTTCATGGTGGAACGATTTAAATGTTAATTCCAAAGCTTTCCCACCGTGACGAGTGTAAAGCTGTGGAAATACTTGGTGCTAGTTTGGCACAGAGATGACAGATTTTAAAAGATACTGTACATTGTGACAAAATGCTGCACTGCCTCTCAGCAGAATGTTCATCTAAAGGAGAAATCATTTGTGTTGTGATTTTAAAGCGTGACTAATTTCATGTTGTGAATAGTTTTGTCCAATAACGCTGCGACTCTTCATCAATTTCTCATCACAGAGAGCTTCCTGAGACAAACAGAACAGACAGAGAGGATATCTACTTTCATGCACCATCAAATTACTCGATGGACTCAAATTTAGGGAGGCGACCTCTCAATGACACCTGTTCCATTAGCAGGACCTTGTTCGGTAATTGAGCTCTTGGTGGGTAGTTAAATTGGTTTAATCAGGTGTGTTGGGACTTGAGGGGAGCAGAGGCTGGCCAGACTAGCGTAGCCTGTAATGACCTTTGTTGTTGTGGCTGTGATGATGTTGTTGTCTCCCTTTGGACGGCAGGGACAGGAGGAGAGATACTTACTGTGGGAACTCGGGGTTGTAGAGGGTGGGCTGAAGGATGCCGGCGGGAAACACTGGAGGACAGATGAAGAAACAATATGAGGGAAGTGGAAACGTCCAGATATGAATATCACACGCTCTGGTTTCATTATAAGAAGGAACAATTTAAAAGAAAAGTTTTTTTATTATTAAAGTCAGCACATTGATACGGTCTCCTTTAGAGGGAAGAGACAGGAGGAAATGAGAATCTGATGCCTTAAAGCTGAACTCGCCAGGATGATGATGTAAAATAGTTACAGCAGCTGCCTCAGAGGACGGTGACAGAAAGTCTCTCTAGTGTTTTACATACAGAGATGTCTGTTGGTATGCCACAAGTTTGGAGAAGCAGGCGGGAGGACTGTTATAGAGGCTACGCAGCACACTGGCGTGAACGTGGGCAGCAGCTAAATGGTTTGTAGCCACCTAAAGAAAATCATTGGTTTAAGTGTACGCTATATCTAGAATATTTGTCCAGCTTCACCCAAATGTCAGACGGGGATTTCCGATGGGAAACTGAAGCTGTTATATCTCTCTCTTCAAAGCCAGACTCCATTGAGAAAAACAGTGATTTAACACTGCTGAACACAGGAGCTGCTGGTCTACTGTCAGTTGGTTAGCTTGTGTTATTGTGTGACTTTGGTGTTTAAAAAGGTTTAGTTTGAATCCACCAAAGTCACACAATAACACACACTAATTGATGGAAGCAGCCATAGACCAGCAGCTCCTGTGTTCAGCAGTGTTAAATCACTTATTTTCTCAATGGAGTCTGGTGGATTTGATGAGAGATGCGAAACTGAAGACGTTAATGGCTTTTCTCATTGGGAAGGTCTGTCTGCAGCTACATGAAACAGAGAAAACAAAGCGTTGTGGAGCGTCGTTCCTGTGGGCTCCAGCAACACTAAACCCCTGAGCTTGCCTGAGAAGGACTAAATGCACAAAGCTGCTATTTTTAAATATCCCATGGAGAGAGACTCTCACTGCAGCCTGTTCTATTTTGTTTTGAAAATGTGGGCGTGCAGCCTCGTTCTGTGGACGATAAACCAGGTGCAGACTTCCATCTGTGTCACCGCTGATGAGGAAATACAGCGAGTGCTGGACGGAGCAGTGAGTGACAACAACCCCGCCCACGTTTAAGAGGACTGTCTGAACAGACCGAGGGTCTAGGTACCATGTCTGAAGGGTTAGTGCTGGTTCCAAAGGTACTGGACTGAAAGGGTTTGGTGGAAACAGAGCTATACTCTCAAACAACGCACACTTAAACTGATATTGATATTTTTAGGTGGCAAAAATACATTTTGCTGCTGACCCTCGTCCTCAACAGTACATCGCTTATCTTCCATGTCAGACTCCAGCCTGCTTCTCTAAAATGGGACCATGCCAACCACCATCTACTGTCTGTAACACACTGACGATAGATAAGTACCTCATACAGCCCCACTTTAAAAGATCCGAACTATCCCTGTAACCTCGTCCACACCATCATACAATCTAAAGAAGACATTTAGTTTATTTAAATCATCACTATGATCATACACAGTTTATTATCACTGAACAAATTTGAGTAAATCTAAATATCTGTATGGGTTGGACTGTTGTTTGAACAAAGTGAGCCATTTTAAATCATTGCTCTGCACTCTGGGAACATCACTTTCTCTGAGGATGAATTATGAATCCTGATAACTGGTGATCAGCTGACTTTTGCCCAGGAGATCTATCTGCAGCAGTAATGCTATTCCCATCAGCCTCAGCTGTACTTTGTAGTTAGTGTTCATTAGCAAATGTAAGCTTCGATGTTTAAGTGTGTTGTCTTTATGTGCACGTAGGTATTCACCTCTGTGCCTGCAGCCTGACAGAGCTGCTCACATGGCTGTAGACCGTTTATTTGATTAGTCTATAAAATGTATAAAATATGAACAATCTCCAAAATAATTACCAGTTACCTGGCAATCAAATAAACTGCAGATATAAATGTATCATGGCTAACATGTAGGTTCCCAGGATTTAAAGAGGTATTTCACTGCTGGAAAGATGGTATTTTAGTAAAACCAGGACATCTATGCTGTAAAAGACACAAATACTTTTAAAATTGGTGCAACAGAACCAGAGAAAACAGAAAAAGGACACTTGTGTTCAAGACGGAGAAAATCTCCAACAATTCTGCACAAACTCTGACACAAACTAGACCATTCGTAAATTCGGAGTGCTGTCTGAATGGTCCGTGTACTTCGCAGCCATTTGTTTTTCGTTTCGAAATAACAAATTGAAACACGGAAAACCAACCATTACCCGTTTTTTGTTTTGAAATGACCAAACGAAAAAGGAAATAAATGATCCGTCTTCTGTTTTTTATTTGGCAATAAAGAAAAGAAAAACGGAAAATGAATCGTTATCCGTTATCCGATTTAAGTTCTGAATTTAAAAAAACCCTGTGGGAAACTCCTTTCTCTATTTTTTGTTCGTTTCTTCTCTGTGACCAGTAAGTTGCATTCATGTGGTGTCGGAATAATCGGAAAAATGACTTTCTGACTGGGAAAATACACATGAATGCCTGCTCATGTTGGAAAAACAACTTGGAGATAATTTTGGAACAGGAGTTGCCAACTTGACTGAAATTGACGTCACTTTCACAGAAAACTGGCGGACGAAAAGGAACGTTTGGTTCATGGTAATAAAACTTTTTATTAATTCACGTATTGTATATCATTTTTTGCAGACATGTAATGTGTAATGTGGTATGCTGTTAGTTGCTGTCCATGTAGAGTGACCTAGATTAGTTAGAAAAGTTATTTATTAGCATAACATGTCAGATAAAGCAATATTCTAGTAGGAAATTTACATGCTCTGTATGTACATTTCATAGACCACATGAACGCAACTTACTGGTCACAGAGAAGACACGAACAAAAAATAGAGAGAGGAGTTTCCCACAGGGTTTTTTTAAATTCCCAAATTAAATCGGATAATGGATAACGATTCGTTTTCCGTTTTTTCTTTTCTTTATTATCAAATAAAAAACGGGAGACAGATCGTTTTTTTTTGTCCTTTTTCGTTTGGTCATTTCAAAACAAAAAATGGGTAATGGTTGGTTTTCCGTGTTTCAATTTGTTATTTTGAAACGAAAAATGAATGGCTGGGAAGTACACAGACCCTGAATGTACCGTTGGGTTAACCAGAGCACTGCACTCTCAGAGAGGCAGAGTGCACTCTGGACACTCTGGGCCGAATTCACAAAGAATGAACTGCGGCCGCTGATAGCACCTTGAATTGCACTTCACTTGCACCTGCAGTTTGCTCCGTCTTAACGTCCTATTCACAAAGGATATTGCGCTAATGATATACCAGCGCAAACACGCCCACAAAGTTTGGCAGCTGAGGGCAGTTTGCCCCTGATTTGCCCCTGATTGCAATAAGCCACATGGCAAAGTATAAATGCTGGCTTTGCACCAAGAACACCGTGGCAGAACAATGGCAGACTTTGTTTGTCAAAGTACTGAATATTGTATACCCTCATGTAGTGATGTCTGCTGGTGAGTCAGTCTAACAGTGTCGGATGGGTTGAGGCTGTGGATTTGACCAAGTTTGACCACTTTATCACTATTCCCTCTCACTTGTAGCTGTTTTTTCGTTATCTTTTGAATTTAATATGAATTATGGAAACGTTTTTGTTCACGTTTGTTTCCCCCGTTTCGTAAAATAAATTATTGAAAGCTGCTTTTGAAGTGCGTGACAGAAGTGCGTTTTGAGAACGACCGCAGACTGTCACTTGTTCAGTATCTTCGGATGCCATTAAAGTAATAATGATTATAATAATAATGTCAAAATATTATTTACAGACTGATTTAACAGACGATCACTGCTGCTACGATCACTGGAAAGTCTGGGCGAGAGGCTTCCACAGAGGAGCGCCCAGTTTGCACCAGCTTTCTAAAGACGTTATTTACGTCACTCAAACTGCGTGTGGCTGTTAGCGCTGGTGTTAGTGAATTAGACGTTGTTTATCAATGAGGCTCATTTGCATAGAAAGGATAGAAAAGCAATTTTTGCGCCAAATATATGCATATTACCTCATTTAAATACGTGCAAATAACACCGGAGCACCGAGGCGCAATCTGCTTGGCAGCGCAGTTAGTGGAGCATTTCACCCTCTGCGCATGCTTTGTGAATTAGACGGTATCTGTTTGCTCCATTTTTACTGGTTTAGCAGCCGCAAAAGCCACGCAATCCTTCTGTGAATTTGGCCCTCTGTCTGTGGAGACGGAGCAGCAGAGCGCCGAGCGGAGTGAATGTGTGATTAACTTAACCGTTGGTTCATTCATGTAGAAATATAACTCTGCGTTTCTTCCACCAACAGGGCTCTCATTTTAGTGTAGAGCGTCAGACTGAATTTACCAACGCACCATGTCAGGTCACTCACTCTCCGGGACCGCCAGTGTTACTGGAATAAGTAAACACTGACCAACGGGACCAGACTGGCCGACCCGTATGCTCTCACTCAGTGGATGGATGATGTCACAGGAAGCCAATCTTACAAAGGAGGACCACACTTGTTTGTTTTGCTATGGAAGCTAACGTTAGCTAATGTGCTAAAAAGTTAGCGTTCCAGAGAAATCCAATATTCCTCTTAATCTCTCCCCAGTTTCTGATGAGGTGGACATGATAACCCTTAATACACATAACCTTATTCATCCCTACAACAGGAAATACTTTGGAGCCATGACTCCTTCTATTCTGGCTCCAATAACACAACAAGACAAACACATTTTAAGACTCCTATGTAGCCTACAGCCCTGTGGGGGAGAGGTGGGTTGTGACAACCTGACGTCAGTGTGATGTCAGCACTAAAAGTGTCTGTACTCTTTGTGTCTGCGGCGGTGGCATTGGGAAAACGAAAATGCTGAAAAACAGCCTGTAGTAGGAGCAACAGTCCGACAGCCAGCCACATGTTTTGCATCAATTTGCGTCATCTGGCAGAGTTTCGCTGAGGGAGAGGAGGGATCTCTGGACACTGGTTAGATGCTGGTTAGTGATACACACTTCATTTACACATACCGCCCACACTGAGTTGATACAAAGCTGGTCAGAAATCAGCAAAGTGTCCCTTTAACATTATACATCTCAATGAATTCAGTCACTTAATGAGTGTGAGCCAGAGCTGCCCGTGAAGAGAGAAAATCCAACATGTTAGGGAGCTACTTTTAATTAAACCTCTGTCCTTGTCTCTTTATCTTCAAACACAACCTGATTCCAGATGTGAAATAAAGGAAGCCAAAGAGATGAAGGCAAAACTTAAGTGGGCAATATTAATTTGATATGAAAAAAAAAATAGCGTATGAAAATGAATACAGAGCCGAGGAGTGAAGTGGCCGGGTTAAGTGAGAGAAATTACGTGAGCGGGTTAAAAAAAAAAAAAAAAAAAGACCCACGGGGGTGTGATGACTGTGTTTGTCTCAGTCCTCCTGTCCTCCAGCATCAGCTCGCGAGCACACCATTGATTTTCCTGCGAGAGATTTAATCCAGCAGGCAGGCAGACACAGACAGCGGGGCCGATCATGGGAGAAGACGAGGAGAGGAGGGGAGGAAGGAAAGGAGGGAGGGAGGGAGGGAGGGAGGGAGGGAGAGATGACAGCGCAAGGCCAGATTTGTTAAAACTCAGGACGGTGTTACTGCTTGTTTTTCCTCCAGGGGGGTATTAAGTGTGTGAGGTGGAGATCGAAGTGGAAAGTGAGCGATGAGAAGGAATATGATATGAGGAGGTGGACGCTTTTTTTTTCTCCTGAGCGGCTGACATGTTTGACTCGTCACAAACAGGTGGCAACATGGTGTAATTGCGTGTAACTAATGCACGGTCAATGTCGTGGTGCAGAATGGCAATGGGGGAAGGATTGTGTGTGTGTGTGTGTGTGTGTGTGGAGACAAATGGCCAAGACACCACGAATATCAGTATGTACAATGAAGAGTCACGCACTCACCCATTTGGTTCTTGTTAGGGAGGTAGTAGGCATTAAGGGCCTGAGGTGGGAGAAGCCACCTGAGGAGAAAAACAGTGTCAAACAAACAGGGTTTTAAAGATGGGATCCCTCACAAACACACACACACACACACACACTCAAATCACCAATCTACCTACTTGAAAAACACCTCGGACCTGAGCAGAATCCTAAACATCTCGGCCTATCTCGCTCTTTAAACCCCCTGGTGAGAAATATTCAGTGTGTGTGGTCCCACGGCCAAAGTTCCTCTCTGCATATGAAACCACGGACACTTCCTTTATGGTAATCCACTTAAAGCCAGACCAATCGATTGGCACAAAATCCCCCAAATGACTAACTCTGAAAGTGTGAGATGCCCTTGTTCTGGGAGTGGAAGACTGATGGCTCTGCATTGACTGTGGAGCGATGGAGGGGAGACAAACAGAGGAGGAGGAGGAGGAGTTCTGTCTTTCTATCCTAGCGACAAGACAGAGTGAGTGATGAAAGGTTCACTTTTTGGTGATAAAGGAGGGGTGTGTGATTTAACTCTTGAGGCCGTTGAGTGTGGGCTAATGATACAGTTGTATTCGGCACCTTGGAATACTAATGCGACTGTAATGTCTTGTCATAGCAGAGAGGCACTCAATCCAGCCGTACAGCACTGTGTTTTACAGAAATGATGAACCACATGTCCCACAGCACTTTTCTGTTGCCTGGCTGCTGCAGATAAGTAAATCAAATGGATTTTCTTCAGCTGTGTGCGTCGATTTGGTATCTGTTGCTTTAATTTAGTGGTGCATCAACAAATACGTCAAACTGGAGAGGGACTCACGGGGACACATGTTAGGCATGTCAGACATATTACACACACTCACAGCAGCGTCCGATGTGAGCCCCAGCTGCACGAGCCCAGACCGGATTTAAATACATTAACCTTCTGTAATTGCTTTGCACCGTGTGTCAGTGAGCCGAGATGGCCGGCTAGTGTAGCAGGTGTGATGTGAGGAGACGTGACACTCACGCTGTCTTGTCCACTTCTTCATGGATCTTCTTGACCGACAGCTTGATGTTGAACTTGATGCTGTTGAGGATGTTCTTGAAATACGTCTTCTCTTCCACGTCAAACTGCAAAACACCACAGACAGGAAGTGACTGAGTGTGAACGTCTTTACTGTAGGCCGGTGGATCGCAAATGCTTCACATGAGTTTAGAATGAACACAAAACAGAGCTGATTCATAAAACCAAGTAAGATTTTAAAAGAGCTGCAGCAGCGTGAAGCGTAAAAAGAAAGAGTTTCAGACCTGTATCAGGAAACTCAAAGTGAGTTAAAGTCTAAAGTGAACAGCTACGTTTTTAGCTTAGTATTTAGTGACCTATCTTCCCTGATATCTATAGTTAGTGTGTTCCATAGCTTTGGGGCGTCACTGAGAAAAGACCACACCCCTGATCTTCTTCCGGCTGTCTCTGGGAACCTCCAACAAACCAGCAGCAGATGATCAGTGTTCTTGGAGGTAAATAGTTAACAAAGGAGTTAGCAACGTAGCTCAGTCCCAGCCCAGGTAAGGCTTTTGGTGCGTTTGTTTTGTACTCGAAGGTCGGAAATTCCAGTTCCCAGTCGGAAGTTTAAACTTGAACTCATCCTGAGATCGGATTTCCAACTCGGAAACTCGGAGCAACCGCATCAACCCCGACTTACGAATTCAAGATGGCTGCCGGTCACATACATATTGAGTAAACACTCTGCTAAAGTACTGTTTATAGCAATTCTATCTTACTTGTTTTACATCAGGTCAGCCTCATCTGCGGCGTTCATCAGTTGGAGTGCATGATGGTTCTGAAGCTGTCTATACTCCGAAAGTGCGAGGGCAACAAAGGCTTTCTCGCGGGCGTCCATGTTTTTTTCCGACTTGTCCACCATTGTCAACTAGAATGCACTCGGAGGTGACTTCCTTCCCACTTCCGACTTCCGACCTCCGAGTACAAAACAAACGCGCCATTTGTATTCAAGGAGGAGGAGCTTAAAATCAACTGTCAATGTAACAGGAAGTCAGTGCAGAGCAGCTGAGCCTGGCCTGATGTGCTCTCTCCTCTTGGTTCTGGATCATAGCTGCAGAGTTTTGACTGAGCTGAAATCTCTCAGTGGTGTTTGTTTGGGAGGCCAGTAAAAAGTGTGTTACAGTAGTCAGGCCGGCACTTCAGGCCTCAATTTCTCTGCATCTTTTTCATTTAGAAATGCTCGTACCTCAGTGATGTTTCTGAGGTGGAAAAATTGTGTTTTCGTTTGTTAATGTGGGACTGGAAGCTTAGATCTGAATCCAGGATCACACCAAGACTTGTCACCTCAGATTTAATCCAGGGAGTTAAATTCCCCAGATTACTGAGAGGCATTTCTCTTAATAATATTTAAAAGGAGAAAGCTGTGAGTGCGGCAATGGATCACTTTATTGTATGGATCAAACTACAGCATAGCACCAGTGAAGGCAACCTACCACCTGGCAGTAGACAGCATCATGAAAGCTACCCGTCTAATATGTTCTTATTTTTATTGTCTTATGTTGTGATAATTGTGATAACATTATGTCACAGAAGCTATTGTGCACAGATATAAATACAGGTGTGCCTTGAGATTTTGGCTCGCCCTCTGGTGCCTTGGGCATAGAAAGTATAAAAACCACTGCTGTAGGCTCTATAGTAGGAGGTAGGAGGAGGAGTAGTTCTACATATATTTATTGAAAATTGGCTTCATTTCTTTTAAAAACATGGGAGGAAGGCAGAGAGCAACGACAGAAAAAATTGCCCAAAAAATTAGCAAGACAGTGGTAAAAAGAGAAAATTAAAACAAGAAAATTAGTTAAATAAAAGGAAATTATATAATAAAACTAGCTTTTTTCTTCTTTCCCAACATTTTTTAAATTGATTTAGAAAATTATTATTACTATTTTTTTTATTTATTTTTTTTAATTTGTGTGACATTTCTTACCAAGTTGCTCGTAGCCTTTTCCCCATGTTTTTGAAAAGAATCACACCAATGTGCTCAGGATCAAAGGTTTAAATACTTGTAAAAGGTGTCTAAAAGCAGCACAATAAAAGAGATGTCGCTCCAGGTTTCAAAGGGTTAAACAAGATTTAAAGGTATACTGTGCAGGATTTCTGCATGTAAGCGGAAAAAAAGGTGCACCCCTCTCATAGATATTTATAGAAAGTTAGAAATAAAGCTCCATATGGTGGCACATATTTTACTCAAATATTTATTTTTTCAGTACCCACACACTCGTAGTGGCGCAGGGGCTTGTGTGGTTATGCAAAATTAGAACTCAAATGCAGATGTCGAGCCTTACAACAAACTTTTAATTAAGAATTGAAGCCATGGGCCAACAAGGAAAAAACTTAAAATATAAAATTAAGACAAAGAAACAGAAAAGAGAGCTAAAGGGCACTTATCTAGTCAGAGGCCAAAAGGGCAGGTGCTTAAACACCACCTGGGTCTATCTGTGCACGTGCCTGGTGTAGACTGAGACAGGAGTAATCCTTCAATCATCACTGTGGCCATGTATTTAACTGCAGAGACTCTGACCCTTGTCTGTCTTTTATTCTTATTTTCTCCTGGGCTCAGCACGCAGGGGAGGTCAGGACTTTATAAAAGGTAACAATAATGTGCCAGACTGTCAGCAGCAAGTATCCAAGAGGAAGGGACGAAATCACAGACACAACAACGTCAAACTGACGCCGTACCTACGCTGTACTCTACGTACTCTATGCCGTATCCTGACGTGCACCTCCCCAGAAATGTAACTACACGTCGCAGTGACGCAGACCTCCTGTCTGTTTCTGTAAGCTGAAACCATTTCCCTCAGTGGAAACAAAGCTTTGATTTACTTTAATTTCACAGATAAGAAACAATAAATTGTGAAGACAATAAAGCCTCCACAAAAATAGCATTTTAAGTCTTGTGTGTGATTTATCCTGGCTTCATATGAGCAGAGGAAATCTCTGCTAGCTGCTAGGCTAATTAATACAATGTAAAATGCCATAGGCTTGTGCTAATAATGTTAGCATGTTGTATTTGTGGGGAAAACGTGTTTAGTAACGTTATAAGACAGTTGTTTTGTCAGTGAACCTTGTGAGTTGTAATAGAGTTGAATTTTATAAAATAATAAGTGTGTGAATAAGCCTCGGCTTCAGCCTATTCCTTTTTCGGTTGCAGAGCTTGTTAAATTTTGTTGTGAGAAAATGTGTAGTGCAAATATGTATGTAAATGTTTTGTCAGTTGATTGCACACAATTTAAGTATTGTATATTGTAACCGAAATAAATTATTCATTCATTATTCATTCATAACATTACCTTTGTTAAATGTTGCTGTTGTCCCTGGCTTCATATGAGAAGAGGAAAACTCTGCTTGCCGCTAGGCTAATTTATACAATGTAAAATGCCATAGGCTTGTGCTAATAACGTTAGCATGTTGTATTTGTTTGGAAAACATGTTTAGTGTAAGACAGTTGTTTTGTCAGTGAACCTTGTGAGTTGTAATGGAGCTGAATTTCGTAATGTTACCTTTGTTAAATGTTGCTGTTGCCCCTGGCTTCATATGAGTAGAAGAAAAGTCTGCTAGCCACTAGGCTAATTTATACAATGTAAAATGCCATAGTCTTGTGCTAATAACGTTAGCATGTTGTATTTGTGGGGAAAATGTGTCCAGATAAAGACAAGTGTTTGTCTGTGAATGCTGCGAGTTATAGTGAAGCTGATTTGTGTTCTTGTGTTTGAAACTGTCTCTATTAAGCCATGTTTAATGTGAGTTTAATGTGTGTTTAATGTGTGTTTTGAATCAAGTAAACTTTACAGCACATCACAGAAACCTCCGCTGCTGACTAGTGTTTTGGGGGTGTAAGTACAGAGTGACACAGACACACCAAGTGTGAAAAAAAAACCCACGTTTTTTTGTGGGGTGGGCAACACTAGTTCTCAAACGTGCATGTACTATGACGAAAGGTCACGGAGAAACTGCCACCATATTTGGCAAAAAGTATCAAAACTTCGGCTCAATTCATAAACACGTGTCAACTCTAAGGAACCGATGCCATGAAAAGAATCAGTCCACCCATCACTGCAGTTTTTGACAGCTGAGCTGCGTGCTAAAGGTTTAACACGTGCATCCTGGTTGTATCAACACACTTAATGAAAATTGTGTATTTGAGCAGCCTCAGCAGTGTCTCAGGTTCATTTACCCCTGAGCATGATGTATGTGTGCAGCATCTGAATACAATCACCCAGACTGAACAGTGATGTCTGATGGAAAACCATTCTAGCGACAGAGAGAAAGAGAAAGGGATGATGGGAAATGTAATGTATTCATATTACGTGTGGGTGGTGAGGATGACCAGGCAGCGGAGAGTGAAATGAGAGACTCATGACTCACCCCATATTCTTGATCTATGAGCTCAGGTTTGAGCAGGAAGTCTGGGTATCCTGTCATCACCATCATGTGCTTCAGCTGGGAGAGAAGAAGAAGGAGAGAGCGTGATGGAGAGACGGAGAAAGTGGAGGATAAACAACTGGTCCAGCATCACCCTACATCCGCTCACAGTGACTAATAGGTACCTACACACACTTGTTTTTGGACCCAGCACACACACGCACACACACGCACACACACACTGGCGCATCAACTAATCAAGCAAACCCAATGTAATAGGATTACAGGGAAGCTCTTTATATTCAGCAAGGCCCTCTAAAAGGATTATAACTTCAGATTGTAAAAGTATTAGAAGGGATATCTTGCAGTGCAGACCCTAAATCAGCACCACAGAGAGATCCGGATTAGGCGATCCTCACTTCTCAATGTCAAGCCCTTGATGTATTCTATCACACACTTCCATCTAACCAAGCAATCAATCAAACCCCCGGAAAGAAAGGAATTGCAAAGAAATAATTAAATCCTTTTCAAATACTAATCGGATCTGGCGGGGAGCGGCGTTTGTGATGCAGAAGCTGAGTCGGGCACTGAACCTTTGCTCTGGCAGCTTCCTTGGTGGCATCATCCATCCAGTCCAGCTCCTGCAGCCGGAGGTCCAGGGAGTGCTTTATGTCCTCCACCAGCTCCTGTACCTGGAGGGAGATCACATCATAACAGAAGTTTTAAAGTTCCTGAAAACACAATTTATCAGTCAGGTTCTTACTGAATACACCCATTTATTACCCAAAGTTAGAACATAGATCGTACTTCACATGATATATTTCTCTATTTGTGTGTTTCTCACTGGTTTAAAGTGGGTGTGATGACTGTCAGGTGATGTACGTCCATGCACCAGTCAGGATTTAACAATATTTATCAATAGACAGTGTATCACACACAGTAGATGTCAGTCAGCACGCCCCCAGTTGGAGAAGCAGGCTGGAGTCTGACATGGAAGCTAAGTGATGTACTGCTGTGGAGGGGTCAGCAACAAAATGTGTTTTAGCTGCCTAAAAAAATCAATATCAGTTGAGGTGTGCACTATATTGAGAGTATTTTCACTGCTTCACCTTAATGTCAGACAGTGATTTCCAACGGGAAAATGAAGCCGTTATATCTCTCTCTTCAAAGCCAGACTCCATTGAGAAAATCAGTGATTTAACAACACTGAACAGTTTTTGTGTTTGTGTTACTTTGACATTTAGACGGGTTGGTTCAGATTCACCAAAGTCACACAATAACACAAACTAACTAACTAATCGAGGCAGCAGTAGACCAGCAGCTCCTGTGTTTCAGCATGCTAAAATTATTGTTTTTCTCAACTGATATGAGCTGTTGGATGGAAAGGTAAAGCTGTAAAAACATACTCTCAGCACTGTATACTCAAACCAATATCGATTTTTTCAGGTTGCTAAAAAACGTTTTGTTGCTGACCCCTCCACAGCAGTGCATTGCTTAAATTCCGTCTCTGACTCCAGCCTGTTTCTCCAAACCATGGACATGCTGACTGACATCTACTGTGTGTAATATACTGACTATGGATCCCACACAACCCCACTTCAAAAATTCAAAACTATCACTTTAAGTAGAACTTGTACAATATACTAATAAAAGTTAATAAAATGACTGGACAGAAATCACAATTATAAATATTAGGTATAAACTCATCATCAGTGCAGGTCTCAACATGTGTGTCACCATTAAATCAAACAGAATATGTCAGCGTGAAAAGGTGTGTTTTCAGACGGGATTTAAAAGTAGAACAGGAGTCTGCAGCCCTTTTTAAACAGGAGTTGTGCAAATTTGCAGGAAAGCCCAATCAGTCTTTTTTCAGCATTGGCAGTATAAAAACAAAATCAGGGAGTGCAGCAAAATGCCGCCTACCTACTTTTGTTTATAGAGAATGTGCCTTTTTCGGGGCAATGGGGGGCGTGAGCAAGTAACAAAACGTGTAGCTCAGCGTGTGACGTAAACAGTGACGTGGGAGGGAAGCCGCGGCTGGTCAGGCGGCGATTCTCTCGTAAGTCGGCCCGTTCTTCACCGTCCCCGTCATCTGACGGTTAATGGCCTCTTCGTTTGCGAGGACAAGGAGGGCGCGCAATTCCTTGTCTCCCCAGTCGCTCATCTTTACAGTGTCTGTCAGGTTTGTGTTTCCCTCTTGCTACTAGCTGCTTGCTAATTCCTGCTATCAGCTGTTTCCTGTTTATCCACTGCCAGTGGCTCGCACGTGCGGCGTCATCAACAGCTCCTCCCACAAGTCATCAACAGCCCCTCCCTTTGCAGAAGGCCGCCTCAGTTTGTTTAAACTAAAAGGGTTCCGCCAATATGTCTACCCTACGAGGCGGAAAATTGGGCACCTCAGATCAACTCGCCAGTCCAGCTGCTTGCCGGCAAAACAGCCCAACATTCGCCGAAAATCTGGCAGTGTAAAAGGGGCTAATATTGCGAATGTCATGTTGGAGAGAGTTCCAGAGGCGAGGGGCAGAACAGCTGAAGGATCTAGAACCCATGGTAGTCCAGTGTGCAGATGATGATGTGAGTTGCAGAAGAGTATCTAAAAGTACAGGAGGGTGTGTAGATATGAAGGAGTTCAGACAGGTAGGAAGGGGGGTGGTTATGGAGGGTGTTAAAGGTGAGAAGCAGAATCCTGAAATAGATTTATTTTACAGGAAGCCAGTGAAGCTGCTGGAGAACTCTATGTGCTAGGTATCCTCCTGCGTCTGTTCTGACATCCTGGGCCGCCACAGTTAACGCCGGGGCATCAACAAAAGCATGCGGTTAGGTTTAGGAAAAAACATCATGGTTTGGCTCTATATTCATACGGGAAGCAAACAGCTGGCTCCTGGGTGAAAGTCTAGGGTTTGTTGGACCCATTTCCTGCCGCTCCTCTTCATCCTTTAGGGACTTTCCAGCTCCTTAAATTAAGTCTCCACCCGCAACATTTCAAACTGATGGTGTCCAGCAGAGTGGCGGCGTATTTATAACCGAGGCCGTCCAGTAGTGTATCATACTGTTGCAAAAAGTGGCCTTTATCACTGGTGTCTGACTCCGAAACTAGTGACAAAGCGACGGTATTTGTTGAGCTCGGAATAAGAACGGACTGGACATTTGTCATTTCTTACACAGACTGTATGAAGGTACATGTAGCTTACGCTCAGATTTGGGATGTTATTTGTTTAATATTCAGATACATTTCAACGTCCTTGAATATAACCATAATTATACCCATATAATATAAAACCTGAGTGTAACACTAATTTGTCAATATAAAAAATTTTATTGGACTCACTCCATTTCCCTGAGACCCACTCAGAGGACCACCTGTGGGTCTCGGGGACTCACTACATTAAAAAACCCATCAACATCTCTGCAGACGCTCGTGTTTGTCTCTGAGAAGTGCTGCTTGTGTTCCCGACTGACAGTTTGGATTTCTGTTGTATCCGATCACCATCATGGTGGATTTGCCTCCACATTCATGAGCCCACTGCTGCAGTTTTTGATGTCAGGTCTGTGTAATGTGAATTCCCGTGTCCAAAATGTAATTACCACTGACCCTATTTGCAGCTGAAACACGCCACAAACCACAAGTCGAAGCGTTCAACCATCACTGAATTTCTATTTCATTTTAAAAACAGCATGGGACATGGTTCTATTTTCCAGCTGCCAGCACCAACGCAAGTCAAAGTGACTGAAATGGGACGCTTTGACTCGCCGTCTGTAATGACACAAGGCTTACAGTTGCTGCATACAAGCTATAATGTGAAGCCACCGTGAAACTATAATTACTGAGAATGTCTTTTGTCCTTGTTTTTTGTTTTGTTTTGCTTACTTTTTGCAAATTCCAGAAGATGAATCATAAAGAGGAGGAAATAACCTCAGTATTAAGGATCTGCTAAGAGGAGATATACAGTGTGGATTAAACATGTATCTGGCACCAAGAAATCACAGTTTTAGAGTACTACCAAAGATCTGTTACGCTGATCATCCAAAATTAGAGGTCTGATGTGACTGACAGTTCAATTGCCATAATGTGGCTGATAAAACTGATCAGCTGATGGTTTGGAGCTACAGAAATACTCGCAGCAGTGCCACAGAGTAGAATGAGCTACTCACAGAAGTCATTTCAAGTAGTGACAGCTGGGACTTCCGGTTAAGGGGGCCTGCTGCCATGGTTACACACCTGCTCTTTGCCTTTGCCACTTAAATAATCTCATTTTGCATTAATGTGCCATAAAATATGTGTGTCAACGTTCTACAAGTGAATGGGCCAAAGAAAGGAAACAAGGACCAAAATATGACAACCAAAATGGTTTTAAGGAAGACAACATGCCAGGCTTGGATTAGGAAGAGGGAAGCGGTGCAAGCCTTTAACAGACAGGTACCACTGCTGAAGCAACGAGCATGGAACGTCCCTCCATTGCCGACATTATAAAGGCCACACAACCCTTCAAACAAGACTTTCATACTGAAATGGACGCTGTGTTATCAGCAATTAAAAACATTCAAACTGACATTAGAGAAGAATGAGGTGCTTATCACTGAGACTGAACAACACATATTCACCACTGAAGACGACATCAACACACAGCAAGGGGTTATTAAAGACTGGGGAAAAAAGGCAGTTAGTGACAGCTGATTATTATTTTAACCACCTAAAAATGAGAAGCTGCTTGCTGAATATTTTGCATACTGCTCTTAGCTGATGCCATCACTTAGAACTTTCTCTAATTCAGACTCTAATGTAGCTCTTGGACGTATTCTGAGGTCTTGCAGAATTGTCCAACATCAAGGTTTCTTTCTGGCAACAGGATTGAGGAATGTTTAATTTCCAAACTTCCGGCAACTTTTAAACAATTATACTTCTGCTAGGGCTGGGAAATATTGGGAAAATCAAATATTACAATGTTTTTGACCAATACTTTGATTTCAAACGATCAAAAGAGACATTTTTGACCAGAAATAATAAAAAATAAATAATGTTTTACCATATGTTTTGCCTACGATTATAAATAAAAATGAACATGGTAATTAATTAAATACATAAATAAATAATCGTTATTTATTTTCATGTGATTTTTTTTTTCAAAGCCACAGAGAGCCACTGGAGAGGGGCTAAAGAGCCGCATATGGATCCAGATCTGCAGGTTGCCTACCCCTGGTCTAAGTAGACATTTATACCAAATTTGAGAAAACTCCCTCCCTCATATCTGTTTTTGAGATATTGTGGTTATGAGAATGAGATGGATGCAAGGTCACAGTCATCATTGAGTCCAAGTAAATGTTTGTGCCAAATTTTAAAATAAGTTCCCTCTAGCTGTTCTTGAGATATTGTGTTCACAAGAATAAGACAGACGAGGTAATAATGACCTTGACCTTTGGCCTTTGACCACCAAAATCATCGCTCATCGTTGAGTCCAAGTGGATGTTTGTGCCAAAGTTGAAGAAATTCCCTCAAGGCATTCTTGAGATATCACGTTCAGAAGAATGGCACAGATGGACTTGGATCTGAAAACATAATGCCTCTGGCCATGACTACCACCGGCCTGCAGGCATAATGAGATTTTTGGTACATAACCATCAGTGATGTGGATATAACGACTAAGTGGGTGAAGTCAAATAACAGAACAGCGAGAACAGTCTGGTAAGTTCAGAAATTTACGCCACTTCACTGTAAAGCAGCCTTTAGGACCAGGAAAAGACAACACTTCAGTATTATGACATCCAAAATCTAAGATGACATCTCGTCTCCTATGACATCAGATAAAATGCCAATATATTGCCCTAACTGGTGCGCTCTCAAACCACCTCACACTGTCTGCGACTACTAAAAGACACTGGGACATGTTGTGTCCTTCAGCCACATTGATGATTCAGGATAACAAGAAGGCTCGTCTTTCCCGATCTGTGTCCTGTCTCTCAGCTCCAGCTCCTGAGACTCATTAATTCCTGTTCATGCTGAGGTAAGCAGCATCCCTGAGTCAGTCAAGGCTACACACATCGCCACCGGCTACAGGGCCGCTACCCCTCGTGTTGATAATGAGGTCTCCAACCTGTGCGGACCTGCCAGCACCGTGCTGACTGATGTCTGCGATACAGACAGTATCAAAAACGCAGTAAACCAGCTTGAGACCTTCTATCCTGCCCACATTACACACTCCACTTTAAGAAGAAGGATGGTTTGAATGATGTTTAGATGCTTGTGGGATTAGCACCCACTCCATGTGGTTAAAACCTGCCGCACTGTAGGCGTGATCTTCTCTATGCTTTAATTAATCAGAGAGGCTCCGCTAGCTCGAAGCATTATTGAAATTTACACTTGGTATCTTATTAGAATCTTAAATGGAACATTAGGAGCTCGGGAACTTAAATTTCAATTAAGGTACAGTACATAGAAAGTAATTAGCGCCTAGAACGTATCCAGTTGTGTCAGACTTGCTTTATGCTCTACAGTCCTGAGCTCTGGCAGAGATTTAAAAAGTTTGTGAGAGGACAAGAAAGGCAGCTCAATAGAAGATAAAGTGCGTAGGATGGACTGTGAGAGTATGAGAAGAAGAAGAAGGTGAAGGGAAGATGATGGAGGGCTTAAAGATGGAGCACAGGGTTACAGAGGTTAGAAATCCCATTGGGAACCATATCCCCATGTCCCAGAGTTGACATGAGAGTGAGATAAGAATACATATGGGGGAGGATTACAGTGAAAGAGAAGTGACCAAAGGGCAAAGGAGGGGGGATTAGGAGTGACTGACCCAGGCTGAGAGGAAAATAAAAAACAAAAAGCAGTGAGTGAGAGGTAGAGACTGGAGACGGGTCTGATCGGCGAGGGGGGTATATCCAGATCCAAGGCACAGGAATCAATCAAAACCATTCAGCCATGTCAGAATGTACAGTCGAACACCCTCCGCCCCGACACACACACACACACACACACACACACACTGCCCCCACAGAGCCAAAGAAAATGATAAACTAGAAAAGAAAAAAGAACGATGGGTTCAAATTGTAGAAACTATAAAAATATTATGAAACTTCCCAGATTAGAGACGTCTCAGGCGCTTGTTAAATACTATTAAATGTTTCTAGTAATAAGTAGTCATAAAAATTCAATCCAAGGACAAGGACGCTAAAGTGAAGTTTCCTTTCGCCGTCTGTGAAGGTTGAGTGTAATATTATTTTAATGTAGTCAGTGGTAATTGCAGATAAACTCTCATTACTGATTTATTTTCTCTAAGTAGTAATAGGAACACCTTTACATATTTACAATGCAGCTATTCACATGAAATTTACACCAGACGTTGATATTAATTCAGAAAACTTTGCAGATGAAGACATCTTCAGGCCTCGATCACACAGAGAGTGTTTTAACAGCTGGAAGTGGCTTTTGCTTTAAATGAGATTGAAGCTTTTTGCGTTGGTTTGCACCTTCTGTTCTGCACTCTGAACTCCTCGAGTTGGAAAACTTCAACTCAGATCAGAAAAGCGCCCCATGTCATCCACTTCTGGTGCAGCTTGGTGTGGCATAACGTGTCTAAACTGATAACGGCAAGGCAAATTGGCGCAGCATGGTTTGACTCAGCCCACTAGAGTGCAGCCTGGCAAGCTAACAGTGAATGATGAAACTAAGTAAAAATAGAGTTCTTCAGGTCTCATTTGGCAGTACAGGTTGAATTGAGCTAACTCGTGTCACAGTTTAGGCCTGCACTGCACTCAACACGCAGTTGAGCTAATGTTTTTCAGTGTACTTCAACTTTAATGGGCACTTGGGTGGAATCCAGCTACTGTCTGGATTATATTATTTGGACGTATAGAGACAAATCTCCTCTAAAAACAAGACAAAATGAAGGCCATGATAATTCATCCATCCATTCAAATACAGCCCATCACCCAAATGTCCCACCAACCACCCACTGGCCGACCCCCAACCGTACCTTGGCCTTGCTCTGTGAGGAGAAGTGCTGCTGGACGAACAGCGCTCCCAGGGCCATGCCGAAGTGTTTGTTGGCCTGAGTGAGGCAGAGCCTGCCCAGCTCCAGCTGCTGCTCGGTGCCGTCGATCTCCCGAGAAAACTCATGGATGGTGCTGCGGAAGGCTGTGGACAGGTGTTCACTTAGCGCCGCCACAATGCGCCACAGCATGTAGTTATGGAGAACCCTAGGAGGGAGGAAACAAGAAGGACGGGTCAGTTACATCAGGCACTGCTTTAAACTGGTTATAGTTTTCTGCCTGTTAAAGAATTTTATTGAGAGTTTGCACAGATCATAAGATCAGTTTCCTATTTTAATGACAAATACAGACGACCACCATCTATTGCTATGGAGAGTTATTTCCTCTCACGCAGGCACAGGACATACGTGCTAGTTCACTGTAGGCTGTAGTCTTGTGGTGACTTCAAGTGTAACACTGTGGCTGAGACACAGGCAACATAAAGTGACGGAAACAACAGTTGGCCTTGCAGTGTACAGTAGCCGCAGTCTGCGTTGCCCTTAGTTCTTTAATGACGATTAGGTGTGTCTGGGCAATAATGGCTTTGCAAACCCATATGAGAGATGGACAGGACAGTGTGAAATGAGAAGAGAGAGAGAGAGAGAGAGTGGGGGATGGCACACAGCAAAGTGCCGCAGGCTGGAGTCTAGCCTGCGGCTGCTGCAGCAAGGTAGCACCTCTGCACATGGAGCGCCGGGACCAACCACCATGGAAAAACACTGAATAAGTCAGTTTCACATCACAAATCAGTGTTTCTCCGATGCTGTTGGGCATGTCTCTGCGAGCCACTAACCTAACACTTGCTAATCTGTGCTCACCCTTTTTCTCTTTTGACTTAAGGTCTGGATGGTTTTTACCAGAAGCTGAATTATCCACAGAGGTCTCTTCCTCTCCAAAACAAACAAACCCAGTGATTTAAACTGGTAAAAACACTGAATAAAGCAGTTTCATGTTAAAAAAAACAAGTGTTTTTCTGATGTTGCTCATTGTGGAGAGGCTGCAAACCATGGTGGCTGCACGGTCTTACTCAGTCATCGAAATCTGGCGTTTGGGCAGTGACTTGTGACGTCAGAAACCAACAAAGAAAAAGGCATCCTTCAACGTTGGCATGCTACATGGCCGGTTGACGTTATAGCTTACGGCGCCCGGCGGCATCAGGAGGAACACGGCGGGACAAGGACGAAAGTTAAGGCGGTGAAAGTCCGAGTGGGGCGAGTGGGAACACTGAGTTTCACCCGAGAGAGTGGTGTTCATGTGCCGTAAGATTCTCTTCTCCTAAACCCAACCATTTCCTTTTGTTCCCTAAACCCAACCATGTGTGATGTTTGCTGCAATTAGCAGTGTTGTTCCGACATAGTGCTTTTATTTTGAAAGAGACTGTATGTAAACGTTAATTTCCTGTGAAAACAGAAGTGTATTTTGAAAGAAGACAATGCATGTAACAGGCAGAACTTGACACGGCGTCCCTTACCCAAGGTATCTTGCACGTCATATATGGACGTGGAAAGTGCATGACCAAACGTCAATGGCCCTATCTGCAACCAATATTTGGTTTGTCCATTCTGGGCTACTGTAGCATGGCCATCGCCGTAGATGAGGACTCGCTCCACGTGTACATATAAATTGCTCATTCTGAGGTAACAAAAACACAATGAATCCTATTTCCATGTGATTACACACTACAGAAAACATACTTATTATAATATATTCCATTTCTGCCAACACATTCCCCTAAACCTGACGCACTGGACCTTTAAACATCTTTAACATTAGTTTCTAGGTTACCAGACCGACTAAGGCTGTCGTAGCAAAATCCCTGAACGTATGGAACTGAACAAGGATGAGTTTCGTTTCTTATTAATTAAACCTTCCAGTGGTAAGAACAAAAGAAAAGTCTTGTTTTCACATTCAAAAGTTAGATAGTGTGGCTTTAATGTGAGACTGTAGCACTCTTCCTCTGTGCTCTCTTCGTAAAGTGACATCTACTGTGTCTAACTGTAATCTTGTTCCATCTGGCCCACAGCTCTGTTTTTCCATCTGCCCTCTGAGCCACTTAAGAGTCAGAAAAGTTAGAGGCAAAACAAGAGGGAGACAGTGATCGAGAGCGAGTGGCGAGGAGTCAAGAGGACCCAACAGTTTAAGAAGAGCTCCCTCTAATCCAGAGTGACTCACAGTGGAGAGGCAGCAGAAGGGTGAGGAAGATGTCGAGCGGGAGGAGAGAAAATGGATCATTCATTTATGTATTCAAGCTGTGTCTTCCCCCCCTGATGATGGAGTGCTGGTGTGTCCTCCTGCCCCCACTGGGTGCACACATCCACTCTGCCCTGCGGGGACAAATGCCCCCCTCTCCCACTGCGAGGCTCCATGCGGACCTCAAGGCATGTTGTTGTTGTTGTTTTCCCCTGTTTTCTTTTTTTATTTTCCCTATGCATGACAGATATTAAATCAAAAGCGCCTTGGCAACAGCACCCCGAGGTCCCGCCAACAAAGCACTTGTGAAGTGAATTTAATTGACGGGAAAAGGGAGAGCAAGGCGGGAGGTGGAGGATGGGAGGGTGAATAAATGAATGAGAGACTCAGGTGGTGTCCTTGATCATCAGGACCATCTACTAATCAACATGTGTTACAGGTGTGGCTGCTTTGTGTCGTTCTGTTATCAGCTGCTTGTTGCAGATTATTTTGAGTCGTCACATGTAGACAGGTGTGAGTTTATAAATGCGTGTGTGTGGGAGTGTGTGCAGCTACTGTACATGGATGGTAGGCATCAAACTACAGCATTTCTCTATGTGTGGGAGGGAAGAGTAACATTTACCTCATCGTGTTTCAGAAAAGAAGCAATATGAATTCACACTTCACACAAGGGGTTAATTGGAAGCCTTAATTAAATTTCCCACTGTTTATATTCTCTCATGCACTGTGTGATGAAGAGCGATGGCGGTCTATGGTGTACCTGTAACTGGAGTTATATCCAGGTAACTTCTATTTCACCTTGTGTCACCACTGAGCAGGAAACCATCACTCATTGTGATAAAGAGAGACTGTCTTCCTCCAAATTACCACCACATTTTTACAAGCAGAAATTACGACCCATATTTATGTTTTTTGTTCGGCGGCAACCTCCAGCACCCGTAGTAATTATTACGGGAGCAGCAGAGCAAGAAAGTCCATTTGAAGGGTTGGGAGGGAGGGCTGCCCCTTGAGAGATGGAGATTCAATTTGTCAGTCGGAGAGCCCTCAGTCGACTGAGACTGTTTCAACTTGAGCAGTCTTTATTTTATTTTTTGCTGGCAGTGTACTTATCGGGATATTTGGTCCCCAGATTTTGCTGTGGAGTGAGCACTCTTGACTTTGACACTACTCTTTGGTACAGACAGCTGTAGACACAATGCAGCAGCACAGAGGAGGAGAAACTCTGCACCATAAGGCTCTGACAGAACATTATCTCCTCTCTTCTGCTTGGAAGATCACAGATTCTCAACGTATTCTCATAGAACGGTTTTTATGATATCATACGAAAAATGCGTGCACAACAGTTCGTGTTTGTGCCCCACAAATGACGTTACGTCTCTAACATGCACTTACGTTATTAAGGTAAAGTTATGGAGGTTAGGTTTAGGAAAAGAAACATGGTGAGGACGTACTTAAAAATGACTCAAAGTTCACACGGATCCGAACACGCGACTCCAGGGAAAAGTCCTGTGTGTTTTTTTGTGACCCATCCACCACCCTAACCTGCCTCCTTACAAGCACTCGGGACTGCTTCCTTGTTTACTCCCATCAGCACATTGGTCACGGGGTCGCAGCCTTTCACGATACATGGGATATGTATGAATTCGGGTGTATTACTTTTCATAGGAAAACATAGGAAAGATTTGTGAGAACAGCCTGAGATACTTAATACGACACAGTCTCTGGCTTTTGTTTGATATCTAGTGTATTATAAAAATGTTAGCACCGTTAGCTTGTTTACCATATTACATGACTGCTGCTGTCACGCTAAATGTCCTGCTGAGCCCCATTCAAACTTTAAAACTTTATGAAATAATAAGCAATGTTGAATATTTATATCAAACGGCCAAATCTGATCCGACTGACATAATTCTGAGTCTGGTACAGCCCACGTTTTTGTTAGGCGGCAACCTCCAGTGGCTGTAGCAATGATTATGGGAGTGTCAGGTGATGTAGCAGGGAGTGAGCTGTTGAATGGGTCAAACAAACATGGGACTTTCATCCAAGAGACCGTTGTTTGTGTCCTGTGCAAAACCAAAAGTCAGCAATAATTTAACAACATACCGTAGCATGTCATGTCATGTATGTGACATAAATTATGTACATCATGCAGGATACGTTGCATTATGTAACTTAAGTAAGAAACAGTTATTTTAGGCCGAACAATGATCATTTTTCTTAACATTATCAAGACCACATAGACCCATTTTGGTTTTTTTGGAGGGGGGACGGGGGATCTTTAGGAAGAAATAGCAGGTCAACAGTACATGCCACATAGAAGTGATATATATCATCTAAAAGCTGGTAACCTGAAGATTAATTTGAGATCTAGCTCAGCACCGTGAGTCAGGGACGGGTGAGTGGAAAACACGTAGGTTAAGTGGCTGCTGAGAAATGCTATGAACGGTCAGTAAAGAAACTGAGACTAACTGCAGGAACTGTGTGTATTCAGAGAAATTAGACTTTGGACGAATGGGCGTTTGTTTTTGGGGTAATAGCCTGTCGGAGAAATGGGCTTCTGGTCTAGTGGGACATTTTTCGGACTAATGGGGCTTTGGAAATTTGGGCCATTTTGGGAAAAACTGCATGGCATAAGCTATGCAGCTAGTGTGGCTACAATGTGAGTATTTAAAAACAAAACTCATGCTGCTAAGTACTGGCACTATTGTACTTGTGATCTGCAAAGAGGACGTAATATATCAAATTAAGTTAAGTATTGGTCATCACCAGATCATTAAACCAAACTAATAACCCAACAGTTTAGAACTAAAGCTGTGGCAGCAGTTAAACTTGTAGCACCAACTTCTAACATGCTAAGACGATCTTTTTAATGTAATCTATTACTATTTTGACGTGCGACTCACACCTCCATCAACATGAAACCTTCACTTGGAATTTCATAAACCTTTTTCTTGCACTTTCTGACCTTTGCAACACTA